AGGTGACACTGACTAGGAAATGTGGTAAAGCCATGCAGGCTAGGATTACCTACATCAACTGTGGGGAAAAAGAGAGGACAAATGATGGCCATCAGGAAAAGGTGGGATGGAAGTCAAAGCAGTGTGAGTGGGAAGGAGATGTAGGGCAGGGAGTGTGTAAGCAGCAGGAAAGAGAAGGCAGTTCTTGGAAAGGCCAAGTCAAAGGACTGAAGTCTGAGAAGCTAACTAGCAGAAGGAAGAGGTCAGTGACAGGAAACTAGAGAGGGAGCAGGGGATAGACAGATGAAGATGAGGGTAGTGCAGTGACTGGGAGGGGCATCAGAGGATCGGTGCAACTGTTACTGGAAGGGGAGGTCTGGTTGGCTCCATACAATGTCTAGTGGGAGAGGAAGCATCCAAGAGACAATCATTTTATTAAGATGTGGTTTTCACTACAGAAAGTCTGAAAGCCCCCATGTTCAGCAAATACCTTTCTTCATTAATGGCAACTTCAGTGCAGCCTGAGCCCTGCGGCATGGCAATGGCCTCAATACTGCAACTCCAAACTGCTTGGCTCGGAAGGAGAAGGGAGGGAGAGAAAGGAAGGGGACATTGTGAGGGTGAGAGGAGGTGTAACAAAGAATCACTTTAACAGAAACTCCTGAGTAATGGCTCTACCCCAGGCCAAGAATAACATCAGCCCTATGTCAGCAATTAGAAGAGGGCTCAGCCAGGCCCCATGGCCAGCTCCAGCCTCCTCACAGGCACAAGCCAGCTTACAGCCCCTTCCTGAGCTCATAAGCAGTCACAGCTGCCCACTCGGAGCCCCTTGGATGGAGATGGAAGGAAGACCTCCTGCTCAGGAGAGCAAGAAGACTGTAGGTGAGGGAATCTGGGGATGGAAACTGCGTGGCTAAGTGAGGGCCTTGAAAGCAGTGCAAGGAGCAAAGGCAGAACGGCCTCTCTTTCAAGATGCTCTCAGAAAAGGATGAGGGCAATTTGCCTATAACCTATTCTCAAAGACCCTGACTAGTGATTCATCTGCTTCACAGGAGGGAGAGTGGGTATTCAGACCTTCGCATGTTAGCTCTGTGCATGGTTTTGCTGGAGTCCAGTCCTGCCAGACTGCCCAGCAAATAGCTCCTTCCTAACAGAGACCAATCTCTTTTGAGTGAAGGTTTGTTCACTCAAAGACTTCCTTCCCCTTAGCAGGAAAGCCAGAATAAAGAACACACCTTTCTCTCCATAATAACAAAGAAAGGTAACGAGTGCACCAATGAACACATTGTAACCTTGGAATATTCCCCAGGCAGGATGGAAATACTGTTCCAGACACAGTGGTCCACCTTTGGCATCTAGGTGTCATCCAGAACATCAACAATACAAACCCTTTTTCATATTTCCTTTAGCTCTTGGACATTTAGCCCATCTTTTCTCCTTGCAATTGTAACAAAGGAGTCATATATCCATCAGACAGTTCCATGCAAAGCAGTGAAAGAAGATCTGAAATGTAGTAATAACAAAATGTGTAGGAGGCCTGGAGATTTTCAGGGTTGCAAAAAAACTTGCATCTACCATCTGGGTCAGTGGCCATGCCTCCCACACACTGAAGGCTCTTAAAAGACATTAATGCATTTCTTCAAAAGAATGAAGATTCTCCTAAATAATTTTTGAGTCCCCTTAACGTACTGCTCTTTTGATAACTGCATCGTATCAGAGGACATCCAGAAGGAGGAGAATTTAGTCAAGATGAAGCCTTGATGGGGTCTGTTTGCCACAGAGGACACAGTTGCCAGCACAATTTCAAGATCCTATGTTTAGAAACACTGAAATACAACAGTGACCCAGCTTGAAGCACTACCCAAGGAGAACTCAAGTCAAAGCAGGAACATATCATCAGTGATGAGATTTAGTGACAAAGAACTGTGGAGACTGTAGACAGTTCTAAGGCTGTCTGAGGCACTATAAGGGGATACCCTGAACTGGTGCAGAAAAGCAAGCAGCAGCATGCCAGTAGCCAAATGGAGGAGGATGCCAATGCAGAGGAAGAAGCCATTTGATAGCATCAAAATGCTATCAAAATCACTGCAGGTAATACTAGTTTTGTTGCAACCCACTTGAAGAGCTACTTCCTTCACAAAAGCTGTGCCGTATGTACTGGCTTTGTGTTAGTTCTGCACATCTAAGACTCAGTCAGCACTGCTACATCTCAGGCAGGATTTTTTCTTAGTTACCTGGTGCCGGGCTTGGCTTTGCTCCAACAGCTGTCGTGATTGATGTTTCTGCTGCTGAAGCTGCTGCACAGCAAAATGGAGCTGATAGTTGGGATGTGCCAGCGGACTCCATGTCACCTTGTTGTAGACACTGTTCTCCATCTCTCCTTCCCAGGCAAAATGATGATTCTCTGGAGCCCTGAGAAAAAAAAGAGTCATCACGCTTTCACCACTCTGCATATAATGACTCCTGCTTACAAGGTACTGCTGCTTCCTAAAAATCCCTTAATACTTAGCCAGCTATGAATTTGTATCGAGTGCCTCCAGCAAGCACAACATCTGCTAGAGGTACCATGTGCCAACTGCCGCCTTGCTAAGGAGTTTCTTGAATTCCAGGCTGGACTATATTACTAGCCGTAACACCATGCTTGAGGAGAACAAAGGAAAAAAGAAGAAAAACTCTAAACTGGAGCATGTCTGTAGCTGATGAGCATTGAAGAGAGGCAGAGTTGCAGCAGGAAAAGAGCTAAGGATTCCCATCACTAATGAGATAATTATTTATTTGGATTTGTAGAGATTTTCTTAATACACTAACACAAGGCTTACACCAAGCACACACATGCTGCAGTGAGAGTGGAATAGAAGACAGACATGCAGTACAATATCCACAAAGAGGATAAAGGACTGGTAGGGTGAGGTTGCAACTAGGGCACATATTGACTCCATACAGTTACAATCCAAAAGACCTGAGGGGACTGAAGATAAGCTCATTTCTTTCATCAGAGTAATGCAAGCCTTTTCCAGAAGAGAAGAGACCTCCTGCAAAGAGGCAGGAGCTCTTACAACCCAGGCTTATACAGCAGGAGTTCAGCTGTGGCCTGCAACATGATAAGTACTAACAGGAGCTCATTGGCTTGCTTTGAAGTTTGTAAGCCTCGGTGAGAAGGCAGCACCAACAGACTTCTACACAAGGCCGAGGGGCTTTGCAGAGAGCAGGTGGCAGACTGACAGGACCACAAGGTGTCCTGAAGAGGCTACAATGGCCCAGCAACTCGCACATCCTGTGCTCACAAGACAGGATGCCATATGACCCACTGAATCCTGACACTCTGGCTGATAAAGCCTTCAAGCCTCAATGCCTGAGCTTCCCAAGTTTCTGCTGATGTCTGTCATGTTTCTCTCAGCCACTCTTACCAAATATTTCCTTTGGATTCCCAGGGCAGACTTCCCCTGTATTTCCTACGCATGTCATAAGTAACTGGGATGTAAAAGATACTTGGTGTCTTTTACATTTCATGCCATGATTCGGAGTGTAGGTCATGGTTTTGGCAAGAGAGTTAACTGCAATCTCCTTGCTTCAGGATCCTGTCAAAACTTACAACCTAGATTGTCTGAACATGTCACAGCTTCCCTTGAATGTGTTGCACCTTCCCCCACAAGCTTTATCATCACAGCAAACCCTTAAAATATTCAGAAGGATGTTTCAAACAAGACCAGAAGCAACTGCCAGCTCTATGTACTCTCCCTCAAAAATAACCTAATGCACCCCTTTCAAAGCAAACTGAGGACAAGGACTCTAAACACTAAGGGGTCACTCTCCATACTCAGCTCCTCAGCAACAGAGGAGTAAGACAACCCAGTGGAAAAGGAGTTCAGCTGCCAGCATCTCCACCCTGCATCCTCTGGGTCTCCTCCTGCTTGGAGCACCACTATCACTTTTGCTCTTATGGACCATTGGCTGTAGGTAGCCTTCTCTAGACTTCTCTGTTCAAGGAATCCCACCCATGCTTCTTCAGTCCTTTGCTTCCATTGTACCCCAGTGCAACACTGGATAAATGACTCTCAATCCCCGCTCCCTTTTGCTACAAGATTCTTAGCCTTTCAGTTCTTTTCCTTTCACCAGTGCTTAGAAAAGCGACAACTGTAATGTTGCTGACAGTACTCAGGCCTTGAAACCCAAGTTGTATAGGTCCGAATCTGGCTTTGTGGTTAACCTTGGGAGAGCTGCTTCCCTCTTCTGAACCTGCCTTCCCCCTTCTGCCCCAGTAATGGGGTCATGACCCTGTACTACTGTGGTTTTACCTGCAGTTGCTCAGCTCTGGATCCATGGATGCGTGTGTGCTGCTGGCCTCCCAGCACTGTCCCCTACTGGGCACAGGATGCCACAAAAATCATAACCTAAAAGGAGGACTAGACAAGGCACAAGGAATCTTTGAAACGATCCCCAGCTGCCTCCTCTCCACCAGCTCACCACACGGCTTATCAGCAGGTTGCTCTCACCTGGACTCAACTCCCATCCCAAGGGTAGTGTCTGCTCCTTCCACTGCATAGATACAGACGCCACCATCCATTCTGATGCTAAAGCTCATTGAACTTTTCCCTTGTGTGAAGCAGCTAGAGTCTCTGTTACCCTCCCCAGTAAAGTCAAGTCATGCTGACAGCTGAAAAGCACAAAGGACTGTGCTGGGACTGGGATGCGCCCTTTGGGAGATAGCTGGGGATTACTGCAGACCAGCCCTTGAAACAAACATCAACTGCACCAGATACAAACCTGAAGAGCATTCAGGAGCTCCATCAAAGTCATATTAGTGCTCAGTAAACAGCCTGATTAATTCCTCATCAGTACTACTGAAAGATTATGATCTTCAATACCTCTGTTTCGAACTAAACAACAACTGTATTTGTCCATTTGCCTAGAGTAACTTTTTCACACCAGCAATTTCTCAGTTGAGAAAATTCGGTAAGTTCATTCAAAATGCTCCTAAATAAAGTAAGCCAACGTAGGATAAAGGGGTTACCTCTCATGAATTTAATAACTAGTTAAAACGCATGAAACCAGAGCTAGAATAAATGGACCATTTCCACAACAGGAGGAGATTACCACTGGAGTCCCATAAGAATCTATGCTACAGTCTCTGCTGTTCAAAACATTTTTAAGTGATCTGGGAAAAAAAAAAAAGAGTGAAATAAAAAAAGTTTGCTGCTGAAAAACTGAAATTCACTGAAAAGCATGAAAAAACCATCACATTACTGAATGATCAGACATTAAATTGGTAGATGATATTCAGTTTAATAACTACAAAGTCATGTACCCAGGGAAACACAATCCTAGTTTTACACAGTGATGGACTTTGAACTAGTTAGTTCTATTCAGCTATTACTATAGCTATAATAGATTTTTCTATGAAAACATCACTAAAATATTCTCAAAAAGCAAACTCGGTGTTAGGAATTATTAGAAAAGGCATAGGGAACAAAACCAAGAACACTACTATGCTACCATATAAACCAAAATTGCATCCATCTCTTGCATACTGAGGATAGTTCTAACCCATGCCTCTCCTCCCTTCTCAAAAAGCATACAGTAGAACTGGAAAAAGTACAAAGAAATGCTGTAGAGATGATCAAAGGTATAGAACAGCTTATATATTGAGGAATGACTAAATAAATAAGGACTCTTCAGCTTGGAAAAAGAACTGAAAGGAAATATGAAAAATATCTATAAAATCATGAGCTTCAGGGAGAAGGAGAATAGGGAACAATTACTCACCTCTATGATACAAGACATAGGGAAAACCAAGTGAAGTCATCAGGTGGGCAGGTTAAAACAAACAAAAGGAGGTAGTTTTTCTCATAACACATAATTAAACTGTGGATGCCTTCTTGCTACAGGAAGCTAAGGATGCCAAAAATTTACAGGGGTTCAAAAATGATTAGACAAACTCACAGAAGCAAGATCCACCAACACTATTTATATACAAAGATATCATCTCCTGGCCAGAAAAATCACTGATTACCGAGTCCGAGAGAGTTTTGGGGAAGTATCACCATTCCATAACATCACCTAATGCTCTTCCCACAGAATCTTCCATGGGCTACTGTCTGAGCAGGACGCTGAACCAGATAGTCTATCTGGTCTGCGTAAATGCAACCAGTATTGTTTATGCATCAGGGGTCTGAAACTAAACCTGTCTCAGGTCTCAGTCAGAAGTTAGAGAATTCAGTCAAGCACTCTTCAAGGTGTTCATTCAAGTTATGTGATTAATTCTAGAAACTAATGTCTGTTCCAACTTCTCCCATATCTACCTCCAGCTCAGAACCTGCAATGCATAAAATCTATCCTTTGATCCAAAAGAATGCTTGGGAAACTAAAGATTGAGTGATTTGTTCTAAAACATAAAAGTCAAGATGAAATGGAGGAGATAAAATGATTTAAATGAAAACTCCACTAAAGCTGGACCTGCTGATAGTCAAACTGGCTTTGTGCCACAGAGATGATGTACAGTGACTGCAGTCTGTAGTACTGTGAGGGCCACTAACTGAATGGCAAAACTTTAGTATCATTTCCTTGATCCTCATTTCTTTTGTTTTGAGGTATCTGGCAAAGGATTAACTATGGAAATACAAATACTTGTATTGAATACAATTTTTAAAAATGCACTGGGAATGCTGCCTTGTTCCAGCCTTTGTCCACTTCAATGAACTCTCAAATGCTTTCATTTGTTTTCTAACCTGTTTTAATCCACTTTTTCTGTTTTAACCAATATATGATCTATAGTCCAAAATAAATTCTTTAGGATATAATATTGCTCAGATAAGCTTGATTTAAACTACCCAGGAAAACACTATTGAAACTATGTTATTAAATCTTTAGGAAGAACCAAATTTTAAAAAACAAACAAAACCACAAAAAATTTGGCTAACATTTTCTTGCAGCATAAACAGTCTTGTACACAACTCCCTGCAGTTCCAATATCTTCTCTCCACACGATACAGCACAACAGCACTTACTTTTTTCTAGATACTATATTGAAAACACATAACAGAATATGCTTCTGTTAGCTTCCATGGGTTTTGCTTCTTTATAGATGGAAATCAATATAAATTCATTATATACAACTTCAACCTTTTATAATATAAGCATTAAATATTTGACAACAGAAAGCCTGCATATTTGCAAGTCTTAGGATCACTTTTGTAGAGAGATGTTTCATCTGCAGTTTTGCAAAGTCCCCATATAACATGTTATCAAGTTGCTGATATTACACCTAAGGCATCGCTTGCCCTGGTACAGGAGAACAAGGCTTAGGATCTGAGACTCAATATGCTGCTGCCAGAGACATGCTCCAGCTCTCAGTCTATTTGCCATGCTCACAGGAATGCATCATGATGCAGCTCCTATTCTCAGTCTCTGCCTGT